ACTGTACTGAATAAAAAAAGCAGATCTGTGTGCACCTCTGCGGCACAGTCTATGCCGTATGTGCCTGATTCACTTGGGTCTTCACACACACACACACACACACACACACCCTTGCACAGGAACATATGGGGCCTGGATTCACACACGTGCCTTGTAATGTGAGATCAATAGAATGAACTATTTGCCTGACCTATACATTTATTCATTTTCTCCTACTGGGATAAGGGATTGCCATGAACTCCAAGCCCTATGGGTCCAAACAAACCCACCCCCGATGCTGAAGCCTTGCTGGGAAGTTCTCTGATGCTGTCCGGTGGAGTGTGGTCTCACGGCTGGACGAGTTCCGAGTCACAATTTCGTCTTTGGGACCTCATCCGAGATGAACTGAGTGGAGGGGGGTCCAGAGGTGGGTGGGAGGGAGGGGAGCGGAACTCAGTGTGGGAGGGGGTTGTAGTCCTTTCTTCTGTGGCATCCTTGGCTGAGCGGGACACCAGCCCGGAGTCCATGGGATGTCTGGGCCTGAACACTGAGGCTGGCCTGCTTGGTTCAGGGGAGGCATGAACAAGATGGAAGAGTGTTGGGGAGGGGGGATGTGAACACGAGACCAAAGGGAACTATGCCCTCTGTCACGGGGACTCTGAACATCAAGTCCAACTAGATGCTCAGGATGAAACGACATCGCCACCTGGTGGCCACCGAGGGTATAGGCCAAGAACATCCACTCATCAGGTCCCTCCGCTCTCCCAGTTTCTGAGCAAGCTGGACCCTTGACTCTGCATTAGTCAAACTCAGCAGATCCACACAAGGGCACGTGGGGTCCTCCTGGATACACGGAGGCGATGGCACTTTAAGGTCCCGGCCGGCCCAGGATTTGGGGTCAGCTGCAGACAGGCCTCTGTGGCAGGGCCCCTATGATTACGGCCTCTGCCTGCCGCTCCCTTTAAACTAATCCTGTAAGAGCTTCTCTTACAAGCCAGCATCTGCTGCTTCAGTCAGAAAACAAATGGGCTGAGGAATTACAGCTGATTGATCAAGACCCAGCCATTTGCCAAGGTATATATACACATTTTATTTAAAAAAGTTTACAGTTTTCATTATACACAACTATTAAGAGGTTATATCAGAGAAGGCATTTGTCCTGTTGACAGAAGTGCCCACTAGATCATCACAATGCAAGGAAAAAGGTGGAAGGAAGGAGAGAGGGCGAGGAAAAAATAAGCAATAAAAAGCTGAGATTTCAATTAAGGGCTGGTAAGTCCCTTTTCTCTTCAAGTATCACACAATAGGTACCAAATACAATCAGTTAATAATGGCCATTTCTTCCCAAGCCCACAGCCAAGACGAGTGTGTGCTGAATTCAGAGTCCGGGCCGCTACCCAGCTGAGTGGGGAACCTGTGTCACGGAGGGCCGGGGAGGCCTCCCTTGTCCCCGTCCCCTAAGGGGCTGCCATGCCATCCAGGCCCAGGTGTTGGGGGTGGGGTGCAGAGAAAGAACAAACATGGATTTAGAAGGTCAAAGAAATGCAGTTCTTGGTGTCCAGTCGGAAATGATTCCAGTCAACAAGGCTCTGAGCCCTATTAGGAAGCTGATGAGAAAACTCTTGCTAACTCTGTTTCAACGGCTTTCCTGCATCTAACAAGGCCCTGGGACTTAGAAGGGCCACATGCCACTGAAAATTAAACATTAGTTCTCAGAAACTTGAGGTCTAGAAACTTCGACTACAGAGGAGGCTGTCTTTCATGATTCTCAGCCACCCATTAGGAAGCCTTAAAAAGAGATGAGAGGAACAGAGGAAGGAGAGAGAGAGAGAGAGAGAGAGAGAGAGAGAGAGAGAGAGAGAGATCGGGCCAAGATCCAATTGGGCTTTGGGGAGCTTTCTGAGGGGGATGAAGTTTGCCTGTGAGGGGAGACACTCCTCAGGGACCTAGGTCAGTCAGTTGGCAATGAGAACGATTTTGGACGTGGAAGATAATGTCAGGTACTGCAGAGAGATATGGCAACTTCCGAGAATTCTTTCACTACTAGAAAATGCTGGTTGAACTGCACGGTTACCTCAAGGTGGGCGAGGGAGAGTGGAGACAGCAGAAAAATTACCAGCCTCCAGGTGGGCTACCAGAGTGGCCTGTGGCGCGCAGCGGGTTTGACGCTGCTGTGTTCTGGCCTCTTCCTGCCGGCTTTGGCGTGAGCCCGAGCTCAGTTTTTTGAACAGGGACCAAGAACAGCTTCGAATCGAGAACCACAAGGTGGGGGTCAAAACGTAGTGGGGCTCTGGGGGAACCGGCAGGAGCAGGTCACCCGCTGCCAGGCCCACGGGTACCCCGTCCCGCCTTCTGAGGGGCTTCTCTGAGTGCTGTGAAGGGACAACCCAGAAAAGCGTTGGCTGCCGTGGGCACTCCCCACACTCCAGAAGGAAGCACGGGGCCCGGAGAGTTCGGGCCTGCAGGAAGGTCTTCCTTCAGCTCACTGTCTGGGCAGCCTTGTCGCCTGCCACACCCAGGCAGGTCTCCAGGGGAGGGGCAGAAAGTGGGGGGGGGGGGGGTGGCTGCTCAACTGACAAAAGTCCATCTCCCAGAGGAGGGGACAAAGCTCCCCCTGGAGCCAAAGACATGCCTGGGACCAAGGTCTGCGACCGGGAAGGCCATGCAGAGATGGGGGGCAGTGTGGTCCAATGGGGGAGCCATCCCAGAGGCAGGCAGGCGGACGGGCGCGATGAGGGTCTGCACCCCGGCCCCGGCCTGAGGCGGCATGTGAAGGGTCTTCCTGCTCGAGAGCCACGGGCTGGGCTGGGGAGTGGGCTGTGCGCTGCTTGCCTGCCTTCCCTAAAACTTGGTTCTACGAGGCTTGTTTTTTATTTGCTGTATTTTTTTTTTTTTGCACAAGATCAGAAGCAATTATCTGGACATTATTGTTTGAAAGGTAATTAGAACACTATTGTTTATACAATATTGAAAAAATACAATTTTTTATTGTTTGAACTCAAATCACCACCCAGCACTTTAAGGCTACCCTAAATCGCACCTACAATAATAGTTGAGAGCACAAGCAAACGGCTAATTCAGCAGGAAGCGAGTTAGTGCCGCGGACCCCCCCTCCCCAAAGAATAAGACAACGTGCTAGGTAAGCGTGAAAGCACACCATTACATGTTCAATAGTTAATACTACCCTTCCAACAAGCCACAAATGCTAGAGATAACTCAGTACAGTTAACTAACCACAGCCCTACACAACTGCACTTCCAATGTTTTTTTTTCCCAAAAGAAAACCTTTTGCTTCATGCCCGTAATTAACATAAAGTAAATTCTTTGTCTTTTTATTTAGTAAAATAATCATGCTAAAGGCAGGTTGTACTTTATAGAGATTTTTCAAATAAAGATTGATTGTGCTTTTTGAATGAGCCCCCCTCCCCCCCAAAAAAAGGGGTACTTTCCAACCTCATTGACTCAAACCTTGTGGGCTTATACAGCTCTTCCGAACTTAAAAAAAAAAAAGTCACACATCCTGAAAGAAAAATGAAACTATCCCAATGGGACACTCAAAAATGGCCTTTTGAGGACTGGCCAGTTTCTGCTCCTGCCTATGGCCGCTGCAGCCCGCTCTTGGATACCTGGTGGGCAGCACGTGGAGGCGAGAAGCTGCAGCCTCCACCTGGACGTACGGTTGGCCGAGTCAACGTGTGCTCCGAAGGCACCTGCAGCGCTCTCACTTCCTCCCTGCAGACAGGAGAGAACGTTTCCTTCCTTCAAAACCTGTTCTACTGCACCACATCTCTGAATCCCTCCTGTCACACACTGGGGTGGGGGAGAGGGGCGGGGGAGGTGGGCTGTGCTTGCTTCCTCTGCCCATCAAGGCTCACTTTGGGTCCAGGAACCTTTGCCTGGTTCCAACAGTTACTCATGTGAAATTTTGAACGTATGCTGGGTCTGAGACACTTTCTTTTCCTGCTCCCACAGACAGAGGATGCCCGGGCTGCTGCCAAGAGTAGTGGCAGGCGGGAGGGAAAACTGATTCCAAACAGGAAGGCAAGTCCCGAGGACCGCCAGAGCCAGGGCAGGCTTGCTGGCACCCTCTCCACGGGGCCCACGTGGCCATCGGGAGGAGGCAGACAGCGCTAGGGAACTGAAGACTAAACCTGCAACCCCTCTAAGCACAGTTCACACACTGCCCCCACCCCAAAGAAAAAAAAACCACCAAAACCCCCCCAAAAAAACAACCCAATCCCCCCAAAATGAAAACAAAAACAAAACAAAAAAACTCCCAAAAAGCTACCACCATAACCCCCCACCCTATGACCTCTCATAGTTAAAAGCTCTTAGTCCAGGGTGATGTCGTAGCCCGTGACAGGCAAGAAGGGACTCTGTGCCTGTGGGACGAGACCAAAGAGCTGCCCAGTCACTTTAAGCCTCCTGTCCTGTCCCCTCAAAAAAGGGTCTGGATGACAAGGCCCTAGCCTAAGAATCAGGTTGAAGGAAACACTCTCAAAAGGTTCTCTATCCGATGCAAAAATACTTGCGGCTGCAAGGCCTGGGTGGTAAGAAGGGCAGGAAATCTATAGAGAAATGTACTTCAAATCCGAGTCAAAAAGGAAAAAAAAAGTCTCAATACTCCAATGAGTTCTCCCCTGTCTGATACTGTGTCGCCACAGACACGCGGCCACCCGGGGCCCCCCGGGTCCCACGGGGGCTGGCTCTGAATGCCCCGTCGTAGGCCTTTTCCTCCCCAATTTGTCCCCGTCTCTTCTGAAATAGCACTGTTTCTATCTTCGCATCCGAGAGCTGGTTGGCTTGGTTTCTTTGGAACCATCGCTAAGAGGGGCCACTCTCGTCCTGCTAAGCCTTCCTCACGCCTGCCTAGCTGAGTGGCCGTGCCTTTGGACAGTCGGGAGTGCACGGGCTGACCCGGCCCGATGGACTGATGAAGGCATGCATTCGGACCGCATATTGCTACCAAAGTGGAATGTGGGAATATGCTATGCACCTCAGGTTGAGAAATGACCAAGAAATCAAGATCTAAAGGGTGATATATAATATATATATATCAATGCTATTATTCATAAAAACCTTGTTTAGTAATAAAAAAAATTGCTTTGTTTAAATATGAATATTATAGTCTGCTTCTCATGGTTAGGAAATAATAGTCTTTCTGAAAAGCAGGTGCTTTTTCTACTACAACTCCATGTCCTGCGCCTCATCTTCCGAGAAGTCGGACATGGAGCTCTCCGAGGAGCTGTCTCCGGTGCCCTCTTCCTGCTCCTTCAGCGCCTCCTCCGTGGCGTACTTCTGGATGTACTCTGTGAGGAGAGGGACAGAGAACACAACGGTGAGTGGCCGGCTGGTGCGGGGATGGAGCCCGGAGCCCCGGTGCCGGGGACCAGGGGACCCTGACTTAGGGGCACTGTCCCCAGGCAGAATAGCTGACCGGCAGGGCCTGGCAGCACCACAGTAGCCTCTGACTCCCAGGGGAGGAGCACAGGCCCATTTCCCCAGGCCCAGGCAAAGCTGGGAGGAGCACGACGGCAAAGCCGGGCACCTGGGGCTGCCATCAGGTTCCTTCCGCACTGGGCTTACCCGTCTGTCTGTCTTCTCCTGGGGGGAGGGAGGGCAAGCCCCACATGATCTCTTTTCACTTTCTCGGTTGCTCCCAGATAGGAACAGATTAGCTGCGATTCCATAGTAACAGATAAAGAAAATCCTGGGACCTCCCCGCCCTCCGCCCCCCCCCCCCCCATCAGTTTTAGATTTGCAGTTACATAATTACAGGTGGCCCAAATCCATTAATTCGGGAGTAGATGTCAGTCCAAACAGATCCTGCCTGTCAGGTTTCTGAAGCAGCAGCTGGTAAAAAAAACAGTCTCAGTCTGCTCGGGAGTAAGCCGCTCTCTGGAGAGACTCGGGGAGCCCACGTGACTGCGTCACGTATCATTTACCTGAAGATTTGTGCGCGATGGATAGCCTACGCTGCAGTTGCCAGCTGGAAAGGATTCTAAGAACTGCTGACCAATCAATTAAGCTCGGTCCTAAAAGCTAAAGGCTTAGCTCTTGCCAGGTCGACAGCCAACACACAACACAGTAAAGCAGAGCCGAGGGGACTCCTGTGCAGAAGGCAACACAAGAGAAGCACCGACTTCATATCCTGAAGCTGAGTGCCCCCCCGTGGCTGCGCGGGGGTTCACAGCCCCAGGAAGAGAAGGGACACGGCCAGCAGGCTGCCAAGTCAGCATGACAAGTGACAGAGACAACGCAGGGAACAAATCTGGCCCTTGACAACAGCTCACAGGCTTCTGACTTAAGAGTCAGTAAACTCATTGCTCTTTGCACAAAATGTCCCATTCCCGCCTCCCCCACCCCCCCCACCGCTCCCCTTGGTGGTGGTTGTTTTTGGTCACACCCAGCTGTGCTCAGGGCTTACCCCTGGCTCTGTGCTCAGCGATCACTCCTTGAAGGTGCTTGGGGGATGGGACAGGGTGCTGGGGATCGGACTCAGGCCAGCTGCATGCAAGCTAAGGGCTCTTCTAGCTTGTGTCTGTGAGGGATTTTAATAATAATTTTTTAATTTAATAATAAATAATAAAGACCCAGTGAGGGAGAAACCGCTTGCGTTTAGAGTAAGAAGTAACTTAGGAGAACGTCAGCAAGTGTTTCAAGCCTGCAGTGGGCTGGTTGCTGTGTTCCTCCCTGTGTAGAAAGAAGTTACTGTGCTCTGCCCCTGTCCTCCATTGTCTTCCACCGCTCACCCAAGAGGATTTCTCGAATTCTCTGGGACACCACTGAGCACCCAAGAGTTTCTAAGCCCAGGTGCTTCGGGAGGCAGGAGAGGCCAGAATAAGTGAGCAGGAGAGCTGGTGCTGAAAGGCTGGCTCAGCCCCTTGGTGCCGCCAAAGCAAGGCGTGGAGGGAGGGGCTTTTCACACTCTAGGGGTAAAGGCAGCTCAGATGTAGAAGGGAGCACCAAATGGGGGGGGGTATTGTAAGGATCCCCCCAGGATGGGAGAAGCATGCTGACACTAGACTCTAAACCTAACATGTTGCCACTCGATGCCTCTTTTGCAGGCCACAGCACCCAAAAGGAGAGAGAGAACAAAAGGGAGTGCCATGCCACAGAGGCAGGGTGGGATGGGGGGATAAGGGGGGTGGGAGGGGTACTGGGATCAGTGGTGGTGGAAAATGGGCACTGGTGGAGGGATGGGTACTCGATCATTGTACAACGGAAACCCAAGCACAAAAATTTGTAAGTCTACAACTCTACCTCATGGTGTTTCACTAACAAAAAAAAAATTAAAAAAAAAAAGCAAGCCCTGGGGGACAGACCCTTCTGCTCAGACCCCAGAAGGCCGGCAGCTGCAGTGAGAGGCCACCCCGGAGGGGACGGCAGTGTTGCCACAGCGTCATCAAGGACAAGGAAGTGGCTGGGATGTTGAGACACAACCACAGAAGAAAACTGCACCTGATCTGTTCTCGTCAGAGTATGAAAGGAAGCAAGGCCAAGTATGCTGACTCTGCTGGGACAGGGTAGGGCTGGGAGAGTCCATCAGTAAGGAAGGACACCCCCTTCCTGCAGTGGGAGAAACGCAATTGCCCATCGATGCCCGACAGAAACGAAAGCCAAGACGTAGGGAACAGGCCGAGACGCAGCTCGGAGTGGGGCTGCACACAGCCTTGCAGGCAATGATCCCGGGCAGGACAGGGCAGCGACTCAGCACGACGCTGACCAGCGTTTAGAAAGAAGAGGCCTGCATGGAAGTGGCGAAGCAGCTTGGGAGATCGACATTTTCGAAGACCATCTGAAGAGGGTTCGTCTAGAGCTGCGAGGGGCGAGTAACATGCTCACCAGGGAGCAGGCGAGGATGCATGGGAAGGTGCTCAGAAAGGGAAGGCCAAAGCACACACACTCCCCAGCACTGCTGGGTGGGGAGCCTGGGAGGCACCCTCGTGGCCCTGGGGGTTTCTGGCACATCTTTGGGTCCCGGGGCCTGGCCTCAGAACCAACAGCAGCGCCAGCCTCCCCTGCCTCCGCCAGCTGAAGAGGGGTAGAGAAAGAAGGGTCCGGGGTGGGGGTGGGCAGGTGCCAAATGTAAGAAAAAATGAGCCCCGGCTTCACCAGGAAAGGGGGGAGACGAGCTGGAAGGGAATAAACAAACAGCCAGGTTCCTTGAGGGGCAGAGAGAGGCGGAAGACGCAGCAGGGGAAGGAGCGAAGACCCCACGCAACGCGGCCGGGAGAGAGCGGTCAACAGACCACAGGGAGGCGGGGAGTGAGTCAGGACAGACGCGCGTCTTACTTCCTGCAGGAGGGGACAGAGATGGGAGGGTTGACGTACACAACTGAGAGGAGGAAGGAGGCAGGAGGAAGCTGGGGTGAGCTCGCGTCTGATTTTCTCAGATGACCAGAGGGCCAGAACGATGGGTGGCCTTGACATTCCGGAGAGTGAGAGCTGCCACCCTGCACTGGACAGCAGGGGTTTCCCAAGGCAGGGCACCGGGAGCACCTGAGCAGAGACACGTTCTATGACGGTGCCTCTGTGGGCTGCAGGCGCTATGCAGAAGCCTCCATGGCAAAGTGTCAGCCCACCTCCCTCCCGAGGGAACCACATCTGGCTTCAAATTCACGTTTGGTCATGGAGATACCCAGCTACGTATATTAGTTACTACTCCACAAAGCACCGAGACCTGCTTATTGTTTGGGAGTCACGCCCAGCTGAGTTCAGGGAGGACTATCTGGGGTGCTGGGTGCAAGGCATGCAGCCTACCCGCTGTACTATCTCTCTGGCCCCTAAGTTTATTTAGAGCAGATTTATTTATACTTTATTCCAACAAAAGTAGGAAACAAAAGTCCTAGAGAGACCCGAGAAGAATGAGAACATGGTTTGGCAAACAGCCCAAGTGTTCCCCTATGTCTCCTACCTAGTAAGAGGAAGACCTACCAAATGCAATAGATTATTAAATTCTATGCAGATTATACATACTAAGACAGGGATTAATTTCTGAAGGCAAGAATGCCTTTTTTTTGGGAGGGGGGGAGAAGGGGGTCACACCCGGCGATGCACAGGGGTTACTCCTGGCGGTGCTCAGGGGACCATATGGGATGCTGGGAATCGAACCCAGGTTGGCTGTGTGCAAGGCAAACGACCTACCCGCTGTCCTCTCTCTCCAGCCCTCTAGAATGCCTTTGAATAACGATTAGTTCTGTGCATTTTTTTCCTCAGAGGAGAGATGAAGTCAGTAAAATAATCATATACTGTGTCATGCAGAATCATCGGGTAGAAAACCTATTTCAAAATATTGATTTTGCTTTCCTTACATGTAAACAAAAGTTTTAGAAATCACTAAACATATTTGTAATCGGGGGATAATTAAATACTTTATCCCGAATATCACATTCTTGATGTTTTAAGACATAATAACCATTAGCATCTACCATGAAAGCATATAAATAAGATAAAAAAAAATTCAAAAAGGAGTCAGACCTACACGGTCAAGCTCTCAAATTATTTCGACTGCCGCAGTCTCCTGCAAATGGATCTCCAAGGGGTGGCATGTCCGGCATTCTGGGCTGCTCTACACTTAGGCAAACCATGCCAGAGGCGGGCAAACTCTAATGCCTGCCATCCGTGTACTGGGCTCTCTGCGTGGGTTTGGAACTCCTTTCCTTTTGGCTGGCACTTAATGTATTTAACTTCTCACCATGAATGTTCTCAAACACACACGGAGGTAAACAGAAGAGCATGACAAAACACAGGTAAATCTGTGTTTACTGGTTTAAGATGTTTCCAACTGTCTCTTCATTCTCATGAAATTCACATTCCATTAGCCCAGTGAACCACTTAAGAACAGGGCAAACAGGATTCCAAATCCTGAAGGATGAGCAAACCAGGTGCTCCCTCCAACTAGCACTTTTCACCCTTTGGCAGAACCATCCCATTGCACTGGGGTACCAGTATCAGGCATCTGCAGAAGCACAATGTTCAACAGAAGTCGACTTCCCAAAGGAAAAGCAAAGCAGGATGAGACCAAGGAAAGGAAGTTGGGTATCTCCGATTCTTCAGGTTAAATTGCAATGTTAAAAATCAACAGGTCTTTTTTTTTGGGGGGGGGGGGGTTCACAGCCGGCCATGCACAGGGGTTCCTCCTGGCTCTGCACTCAGGAATTACTCTTTCTGGTGCTCGGGGGACCATCTGGGATGCTGGGAACCGAACCCGGGCCGGCTGCATGCAAGGCAAATGCCCTACCCTCTATGCTGTTGCTCCAGCCCCTCCACAGGAGTTTTTAAAAAGTCTAATGAGTGATGAATTTGGTAATTATTTCCCACACACTCCAAGTGAACTGCTGACTGGTTTACTGGAGAGCCAGTATGACTGGTCGGTAAGCCAATATGAGATTGTACCTTTGAAGGGTGTTTTTTGGTTCTGGGGCCACTCTGTGTGGTGCTCAGGGGACATACGTGAGGCTACCGGGTTGTGTGAACTTGAGGTGGCGGTCGCATGCAAGCTTTACCTACTGTACTCCCTCTCTGGTCCTCTTTGAAGAAATCTTTTTTGCTCGAGTCTAATTTCCTACTCACTTTCTGAAGACTAAAGGATGCAGCAAATAAAGGTAAAGGCTCAAGTTTTTTTTGATTTGGGCTGGGGGTCTCAGCCCACGGTACTCTGAAGACAATGCAGTGGTGGTGCCTGGTGGGGGGCGGGGGGCTCAATTTGTGCTTCCCTCATGCTTTTTTGGGAACCTCCCCACCCCCCGGAAGAAGTTTCTTTGGGACACGTACCCAAGATTTTCTGGGTCACATCTCCTCCCGTCCCACGGCGGGCCTCCCACCAACTCCTCTTTCCCTTCGCTCTCTCCTTCCTGTCAGCCTTCCTCAGGTGTCTCCGGCCCTCGCTACCCGCAGCGTGTCTCTGTCGAGGACTCAGACATTTAACCCCACAGCCTGTTGGCATCAGCGGTGCCGCCTCCAGGCCAAGCTCTCGGCCTTCTCACCTTTAATTTTCTGCTTGTACTCTTCTGGTCGGTGGAGGTACATGGCTGCTGCATCGCCATTGAGAGGATCTATGGGGTTAGGGTAGGCCAACAACTGGGGCAGGAAGGACTCAAATATATTGGTAAGATCTGAAAAAACAAACAGACTCATCATGCACAGAATAAGCATGTTCCCCTGAAAGTCACCCGCAGAGGTCAAAGCCCGCTTGCCTTCCTACATATATTTGAGCACATGGACGTTCTCCCATACAAATCTGCCTACGGGGCCCGAGAGGTAGGAGAGCAGGCAGGGCGTTTGCCTTGCATGTGGCTGACCGGGGCTCGATCCCTGCCGCCTCATATGGTGCCTGCAATCTACCAGGAATAAGCCCTGGCACCGCCAGGCATGGCCCCCAAACAAGACCATTTGCCTCATTATGTGTGACTTATATGTTTCTTTGAAAGCCAATTTGAAGAACTACATATAGATAAGCCTGGCTGACGTTTGCTTTGAAAAGTTAATCCTTATATATATATATATTTTTTTTTTGGGGGGGGGAGCAAATCTGGTAATGCCCAAGGTGCCAGGATTGAACCCTGGTTGGCTGCATGTAAGACAAGCTCCCTACCTGCTTGTACTATCACTCTGGCCCTAAACAACATCATTTTTGATGAAGATTTTAATTTCTTTTTTCCTTCTCGGGTCATACCTGGCGATGCACAGGGATTACTCCTGGCTCATGTACTCAGGAATTACTCCTAGCAGTGCTTGGGGGACCATATGGGATGCTGGGAATCGAATCTGGGTTGGCCATGTGCAAGCAAAAGCCCTGCCTGCTGTGCTATCGCTCCAGCCCCTGAAGATTTTACTAGTCCTCTACTCTGTCAAGTATTCAAAGGCCAGATTTTTTTTTTGAGGGGGAGGGTGCAGTTGGGCCACATCTGGCAATGCACAGGGGTTATTCCTATGGCTCTGTGCTTATGGGTTGGTACCCTGTGGTGGTTAGGTGGTCAGTGAGGGGACCAGTGGTGCTCAGGGCTAATCTTCGGAGGGTGTTCGGAGGACCATGCGATGCGGGTAACTGAACCTGGGCCTCTTGCATGGAGAGCATATCCTCAGTCCACGGCATTTTCTCTGTATCCCCTCTACCCTCCCCTACTTTCTTGGTTTCTAGACCACACCCAGAGATGGCTCAGTGCTCAGAGAACCATACGTGACAGGGACGTACTCAGAGCTCCCACGGGCTCTTTAAGCTATCCCAGCCAGAATGCCTATGGCCTTTTTTAGGTGGTGGCGTTGTGGGGGATGAGGAAGGTTGGTGTTTTGGGGGGTATAATGGAAATGCTCAGGGTCTATTTCTGGCTCTGTGCTTAGGGATCCTTCTTGGGGTGCCTTGGGAACCAAACACAGTGCCAGGGATTGACCTGGGGTCAGCCACATGCAAAGCAAGCACTTTATCCCCTCTACTCTCTCTAGCCCTCAAGTGCCAGATCATGAACATTTGCATTCATAGCCCTTGACATTTAATTCAAATTATTTCTAATAAGTAAATATTACCAGTTTTTCAGTTCTGTGCAATAAAGGCAGGGAAAGGCAGGAACTTACACGTACCACTTAAACCATAATCGTAAGACAGAGAAGCACCAAATTACCACATTAATAGACAATTAAAAATAAACATTTACAAACCCCTTGCTGCCAAATTCAGCACAAGGTGTACACAGATGGTATTTACACACAGTTAGGAAAAACAATGAAGACTGCCGTCGCACGGTATGTTGGAAGGGAAGCCGGCCCTGAAAAACCCAGGTGCAGAAATACCACACACATCCCCAGACTTCAGCAAATATGCTCGTCTCCATTCCTCTGCCCTGCTCGGCTCATGTTAGCATGTTTTAGAGAGAAGCACGATGGTACAGCAACATCAAAATCATTTCCTTCCCTCCCTCTCTCGTGGTTTTTGGGCCACACCTGGCGGCGCTAAAGGCTTACTACTCCTGGCTCTGTGCTCAGGAATCACTCCCAGTTCTCAGGGGCTCCCACAGGACACGCCTGAGGATCTAGTCCCGTGGAAGACAAGTGCCCCTCCCCCTCTTGACTTTCTTAATGAAAAAAAAGTGAGAAAAGTTCTGAATGCAGTATTGTAAATAAAATGCTCATCAAGTCACAACACTTCGATTCTATCATGGTGCGCACCCTGAGGGGATTTTGCTTCACAGGGGGTATCTGGCAATGTCTGGAGCCATTGAGGGCTGTCCCAAGTGGGCAGGGGAGGGGTACAGCAGTCTGTCCAGCATCAGGAAAGATGACGGAGGGCCAGGGGCGCTGCCAAATATCCCACAATGTCTAAGAGGACCCCTTCATAGCAAATGATTGTGGCCAAAATGTCTAGACGGCCGAGGCTTAGAAACCTTCGTGGAGATGAGAGGGGCTGGCAGACGTTTCCCCAAAGGGCACAGCAAACAGTCACGTGCTGCTTAATGAAGGGCCGACGTCTGAGAAATGCGTCATCGCTGAAAGGCAGGTTTGCCCTCTGCAAACATCAGAGTGTGTGTACATAAGCCCATATGCCCCAGCAACGGCACCCTGGGGCCGGTGGCTTTCAGCCTTTCACTAGCTGTGTACCCGCGCAAGCAGTGTACTGCCCCGGGGGACCACAGAGAAGTCAGCATCCCTGATGTGGGCCTTCCTCGAACAGCGTAGGGCTGGACCTGGTCTTTGTGGGACACAGTCTGTCCTAACACACAACACCCCTCTGCCCCTGCATGCCAGAGCAGCCACGGACCACAGGTACCCCAACATGTGAGGCTGGACCCCAGCTAGAATGCAGAGGAACCCATCTCCAATCTGATTCCATTTACACAGAGGTTGGTGCCTGACCCGACCCAGCCAGCTTGGGGCTGCAGAGTATGCAATGGGGAATTCGCCGCAGCTGGTACCATCCTGTACTCATGCAACAGACATGGGAGCAAAGCAAGTTTACTTCTGTTTGAATTCTATGCAATTTTTAATTTTTTGGCTTTTTGGGTCCACCTGGCAATGCTCAAGGGTTACTCCTGGCTCTGCACTAAGGAATCACTCCTGGTGGTGCTTGGGGGGCCATATGAGATGATGGGGATCAAACCCAGGTCAGCTGCGGGTAGGGCAAATGTCCCACCCGCTATACTATTGCTCTGGCACCTCTATATAGTTTTTAAGTCACATCTGGGAGTGCTCGCAAGACCCAAGACCAAGCACTCTACCCACTGAACTATCTCTTCAGCACTCCCAGTGAGTTTATTTTTAACTTCAAGTTACAGAATAGTTCTTTTACAAGGACAGGAGTCATTTTACAGCCCAAGTACACTGTAACAGGAAGAACCCCACGTACCAGGTAACAAGCTCTGTGATTACTAATCAAAAATGCAAAACAGAGCGAGAGAGATTGCACAGGGAGTGAGGGGCTTAGCTTGAAACTACGCAGGATTCCTGAGCACCACCAGGGGTCACTCCTGAGCACAGAACCATGAACAGCTAGCCCCTCAGCACCACCAGGTGTGACCCTGGAACAAGAAAAAACAGCATGACAAAAATAACCGCTGGAGCGAGAGTACAATGGGTAAGACACTTGCCTTGCAAGTTGCTGACCGGGTTTGATTGAGCCCTGGCACCACATATGGTCTGGTGAGCCCACCAGGAATGATCTGGGAATGCAGAGCCAGGAGTAAGCCCTGAGCACTCACTGCCAGGTGTGCCCCCACCAAAAAAAAAAAAAATCATCTGTGGGCCGGACTGTGGTTCCGAAGTACAGCATATGGTTCCACGTGGGAGGCCCTGGATTCTATCTCTGGTGACACCTTCCTACCCCCTCCGAAAGAGCTACCTTCTAAGATCACCCCAACCATCTGGCCTAAGAATCTCACTACTGTTTTATATATACTTTTTTGTTTGGTTTTGCTGGGGAGGGAGGGGGGGACACCTGGTAGTGCTCAGGAACCACATCTGGTAGTGTTGGGGGTGGGGAACCCTCATATGTGGTGCTAGAATTCTAACTACAACGACGACCACAGCCATAATCCAGACAAGTGCCTTAATAACCTCTGTACAATCTCCCCGACTCATGTTTATATTTTTTCTTAAAAAATATAAACAACATACGGAGCAGACGAATAATCATGGTATACAACCACCAAAGACCATTTGTGGACTATGTGCCAGATAACACGCTCATCAGTCACGCTGGGAAAAGGTCCTGAGAGGGCAAGCTCCCCCGAAGGCCCATGCTGGCAGTGGAGGTGGGCCAAGAGTTTTCAACTGTTCCACACCCTCAAACTGATAGCTCAATAACAGTGCCTTATGGTGCCGAAAAATTGGGTCAGGACAACGTAGGCCCGTAATTTTTGCTTTTCATACTTCTAATCACTATTTTCTTTTACCTTTAAAAACAGCATTTTCTCAGCCAGGGACATAATAGAGCATGCAGTATGGTAGAGAATCACACTTTGCCCACGTATGAAGCTACAGATTTGATCCCTGGCACCACACACAAAAAAGCTTCCTTAAAAATGTTCTAGTTCTACATTTGACAGTTTCAAGTATTTAATGAAATATGAATAGTCTGGGGAAAAAAAGAGAAAAGAAAACCTTCTTGTTTTTACCTTTGGGTGGGTGGATTTTGAAGGCAGAGGTAGAAAATGCCAAGAGGTAAACCAATTACAAAGAAAAAAATGAGGGGTGTACAAATTTTTACAAACTCAGCCCTGGGCAGGGAAGTTACTGAGTTACAGTAGCACTAATAATAGCAACAGTTGGCAGCTTCCAACACCCTCCACTTCCTGGTGCATGTCACAGGTTTGTTCTCTCTCCCTCCTTCCTGTCCCCCCCCCCCCCCCCCCGTCTCTCTCTCTCCCTGTCTGTGTCTCTCTCTCTCTCTCTCTCTCTCTCTCTCTCTCTCACACACACACACACACACACACAACTCTTCTGGAGGAGGTTGTGTGCCAGGAATCAAACCCAGGTCCTCACACATGAAAGGCGTTTGCCCCCAAGCCTTTATACAGACTCCGCAAAATTACTCCAGCCAATAAAGTAGGAAACATTAGTATCTCCATTTTGCATATGGGGAAACTGAGGCAAAGTAACTTGCCCACAGGGTATGCTTCAAACCTGG